CGGGGGTTGCGCGGTGGGAGAGGGCGGACCCAGCGCCGGCCTCCCCCGGCCCCTGTGGGGGGCTCAGGGCAGGGCTGAGGTGCTCTAAAGGCGTGTAAAACCCTATTGAGAAACAAAGCCCGTTTATAACCTCCGTATAAAAGCGGGTCTGCTTTTGCCCTAAAGCATCCTGTATCCCATCCTGTATCCCTAAGATGATGCATGTAACGCCGGTACCCCCCACTTCAGCCTTCTGTCCCCCTTTATCGACCAGTTGGCTGGCTGTCCTGGGGTGTCTTTGTGTCCATCAGCCTCAGGTAGACCCCGGCTGACAGTTTTAGCTCGTTTCTTTGCACACCTTTCCTCTCCTTTGATTCTATTTTAAACCTCTTGCATAATAAACTGGCTGTGAGTTGGTGCATTGCACTGAGAGTAAATCGTTTAAATTGGTTTCCATGCTGTTTGGGATAAATGAATTCATATTTGGTGCTATGAGCTATGAAATACCCCGGAATGTGAGCTGGAAAGAGAAGAAAAATGGCTAAATATCTACTGAAACACTGCTGTTGGGGTGCACGCCATGGTGAGGAGTGCATTGACATTTACAGGGCTAGCTTTGCCAGTGTGGACATTAAGTGGGAAACTCGGACCATCAAAATGAGGAAAGAATAAATAAGTCAAAGAGTTGTTTGGCATCACTTGGCAATGGTGACCATGAAATGTACGAACACGTTTTGGTCACCTGGGAAGCAGGAACAGCAACGTTTGCTTAACTGAAACACAGGATTTACTCCATTGAACGGAGATAAGCATTTGTAAGGAGGTAGTTTGTGTGCAGCCATTGGCGTTAATAATTAATAATAATATTAATTAATAATAAATAAACTCTACAGGCTTTTGCCAGGTTCTCCTGATATTTCCTCTAAAATGAAGGGTCCATGCGGTGTGGAAATGCAGTCTCGTTAACACACCTGACCAGATGAGAACATAGTCTCAACATACAGCACAGAAAATCCTGTTCCTGCAGAAATCAGTGTCCAAATCCTACTGCTTTAATTGCAACAGCAGGTCCAACACTCTTGAATGATCCTGTCTGCTGTTAAGATGTTAATTGTGTTTTCTGTGAGCTAAAGCTTTTTGTTTGAAGGTAAGAGGAACAGAAGTTTGAGGGTAAAGTTATACCTCTGCTGCCCCAAGAGTCTGCACTAGGGGTGCTTTGCTTCTGCGCTCTCCAGAGAGAAAGGGGGTAGTGCTGTTTAGACAGCAAGTCTGTTTATCTCCTCGGTGTGGTGGGATGGGAACATCAGGATGCTTTGATGCCTCTCACATGGCATGTGGTTAGTGTCTGGCTGATATGTGGACAGAAACTGAGCCCCTGCTAACTCAAACTGCAGCCTGAGATACGCAGAAGAGAGCGAAGCCTCTAAGCCAGCTCTCCAGTGGGATGCAGCAGGCTGAGGGTCTGACTCAAGCTCTTCTTGAAAGGATTCCCCAAAAAGTGCTGGGGCAGAGACTGAGTCCAACAAAGGCTGACACCAGCCTTGCCAAAATCCTCCCTCTCAGGCTGTGGCAGGCCCAGAGTCGCAGCCTTGCTCTCGTTTCTTGGCAGGAAGGTTTGTTCAATCAAGGAGAAGATTGCTGGGGCAAGGCCCAGCATGGAGAGTAAACACTTCAATTGTGCCTAACTGTGCAGGACAAATGCTGTCAGTTGTGCCAAATTATGTGCAGAACTGCCACGGTCTGTTAAGAGATGCAACACTAATCACAGGCCAGGCTAGCAGTTTTGTGCTGCTTGGCTGGTGCAGGTTGCCCGAAGGGGAACAGCAGGACCATGTGTAAAGACCTCCTTGTAGAGCAGTGGGATGTAAGGGGAGGGATGGAGGAAAGGCAGTGTCTTCTGCCCTAGCCTGAACCCTTGCTCCGGCTCAGGGCCTCAAAGCGTGCCCAGAGGACATGGTCCTAATGGGTCAAAAGGTTTTTCAGCTGGATCAGAGAAAGACATTGAATTAGATGAGAGCCTGTAGGACTGGACGAGCACTGGTGTGGCACAGCGTACTCAGGGAAGGGAGACAGCTGGAGAGGACAAATCCAGCAAACACGGCAATGTCTGTAGGGCTGGGATTCTTGCTGGAAGAATCTGTCTGCACTTGAAAGCTGCTTGAAACAAAGGGGAGATTTGTTGGGACGTGCTGCTCCGTGCTCCAAGCCAGCACTGTTTTAATGCCCACTCTTCTGTCTCTGCTGCAGTGCTTCAGTCAGAGAAGCAGTTCCACGATGCAGCGAGGCGTAATGACGTGGCCAGGATGGAGGAGCTCATCAGGAGAGGGGTCGACATCAAAGCCAAAAACAATGTAAGTCCTGGGCTTTTCCACCTTTAAGCTGCAGGAAGTGGTGAAGGTGTATTTCAGAACTGCAACTCCTTAATGCTGCTCTTCTCGTTAGCCACTCAGTTGGTCAGAGCTGTAAAATACACCACCCAGTGCTAAATAGGACCTGTGGCAACTGAGCAGTTTCACACAGCACTGTCGTCCTGGCCAGACTGGAAAGTTGCAAGTGCTGAGGGAGGGTAATAATTTATGGCTCCCCTTGGAACCTGTGTGCCAGATACACGGGGCTGCACTGCAAGGTTTTTGATTTTGCCATCTCTGTACGCTGAGGCTTTGGGACTAACTCAGTTCCTGGTGCAGGGCTCTCCTTGTTGACCAGTAGGTTCTTGGAAACACAGGATTGCACCCGTCCCTACTGTTTCAATCTGCCCATCGATGGCCAGTGATATTTTTCATTCCTGTGCTGTTGTTACAGTCCAGAACTGGTAGAAGGTGACTAATACTTGTTCGCCTGACAAGAAAGCAAAGAGACAGAGGGCTGTGTCCAAAGAAAACCCTACATAGTGTGAAAAATGCTGGCTCCAAGGATGGCAAAGGAGATTTTGGCCTTCAGGAAGGCTGGTGGATACACATGGACTCTGAATACACTGGCATTCCCTCTCTCCTTCCTTCTCTTCCAGGCAGACCGGACTGCCCTGCACTGGGCCGCGGGAGCAGGGAATGTGGATGCCGTGCGACTGCTACTGGACCACGATGCCCCAGTGGATGATGAAGACAATGTACAAAGGCTCCCTTGCATGTCCTGCAGATGTGTTCTGTGCTGGGGGAGCACTGGGGACTGGTGCTGGGCTGGCAGTTACAGACATCACCTTAGCCCTGGGTGGGTGGCACAAGGCATCGCAGTGCTTGGGAAGCTGCGGCCTCCCTGCTGAGGCAGGTGCGGTGCCTTTCTGGAGCAAGCCTTGTTTTAAGATGTGTCTGCTCTGCTTTTTGGCCTTTTCCTTACATGCAGTGACCAGGAAGTAGGCTGGTAGAATCTGTGAGGTTTTCTGTGTAGCACGGTGGGGATGGGGGTGGCTGCAGTTTAGCTGCAAGTATCACTCTTTTCTTCTGCCCAGTTTGGAATGAATGCGCTTCTCCTGTCTGCCTGGTTTGGCCACCTCCGTGTCCTGCAGATCCTTGTCAACGCTGGGGCCAAGATAAACTGTGACAATAGGGTAAGAGAGTCTCCCTGTGTGGGTCCATCACGTGGCTCTAGAGAGTGATGGAGGGGCGAGAGGCTTACCTGTGAGCTAAGGTGACTGTATGTGACAGCATCTGCTGTGGGGACTGCCATCTCCACTTCTGCCTTATTCCTAAACCACGAGTAGTATTTGTAGCTTTAGAGGTTTACATGGCTTGTTCACCTCACGTGTGCAGTGGTGATGTGGAAGGTGTTACAGAAATGGGAAGCAGGTTTAGTGAATCAGCAGTCTTATTTTTAAACAGACCTTGGTTGGGAAGAGGAGCATTAACCCTTCAGTCATAACCTGCTGTCTGCAGCACAAGCTAGTTTAGCCCCAGAGGTGCAGGGAGGCGTGGAATGGGTCTTTGCTAACAGGATCAGCTTGTTAAAAAGAGACAAGAGACCGTACCTCAGTCTTGGACTTGTTAAATGAGTGCTTCTTTATCTCCTCTCCAGAATGGCAGGAACATGCTCCACTGTGCTGCTCAGAAGGGACACATCCAGGTGATGGAGTTCATCATGGAGGACCTGGAGGACATTTGTGTGGATAAAACAGACAAGGTAGAAAGGCTTTTCACACAGATGTAAAGCAGAATAAAAGTTAACAGCAGAATGAAAGTTAACAGCAGAATAAAAGATAACTATTTTTTAAGTGCAGCACTTTTCCTGACTGTGGACTGGGTTATTGCCCAAAGAATTACTATATTGCTTACATCAGATGGTCTAATCTTGTGCTTTCTGAGCCTTTCTTGGACTGTATTTCTTTGTTTCCTTTCAAAGATGGACAGGACAGCATTTCACCTGGCTGCAGAGAATGGGCAGCTGGAGGTGGTAGAGTTCCTAATTCGACTGGGTTGTTCTCACAGTGCCAAAGACAAGGTATGGGCATAAAACCACACACAATGGAGGTAAACTCCAAGGATTAGAGGATGTGAAAGTCAGGGAGCAGGACACCAAATGAGGTTTATGCAGGCAAACTGTCAGCAGTTGTATCTGTGGTTGGTTGTAGTATGTCAGGGCTTTTGTTCCCTATCCACTTGCAAGCCCTTTGCACCTCAGTCCATGTTGGATTTCTCTCCAGTGCTTTTCAGAAGGGACACACAGTGAGCCTGGTGGGCCATGCTCCAGTTAAGCTAGCTGGGTTCCTTCCCTCCTGCTGCACCTATTAGAAGACTGCTTCAGGCTACTGGTTACAACCTCCTTTTCAGTCACACTGGATATGCTCTGTATAAGGTTGTGGTATATGAACACTCAGTCCTGTGATACACATATGTATGAAGTGCTTTACTTTCAGGAAGAAAATACAGCACTGCATTTAGCTGCTAAAAATGGACACCTCTCTGTGCTGCAGAAGATTATAGATGTTGGAGTTGACCTTGATGAAAAGAATTTGGTAAGTATACTTAAATGAAATAAACCCCACAGCAGTTTTGCCCTTTCCTTCCCTAGAAACACTCTCCTGCCACAGTCATCAGGCTGAGCACTCAGTATTGACAGGAGAGATCTAGAGGACAGCTTTTATCTAACATGTATGTGTTCAAATGCAGGTCACAGTTGCACAGCACCAGTGAAAGGCAGCATCCTTCTTGGACCAATATCCAGTTCTAAAGTATTGCCTTTTCTTCTGTATATGCTGACCTTATCACTCAATTTAATCTCCATTTTTCTCCCTGACCCTTGTACATTCAAGCACCTAAATGGTTATTGAGTGTGTTTTAAACTAAACCTCACTATGCTTTATAGTATTGACTTAGTCACTGAACATATGGACCTTCTGTTTGAGATCTGAGAGATCTCTCTTTGACAGACCTGCTTTGGAAAATCATGTGGTTGGAACACAGTTAATGACTTAGATAGCAAATATTGGCTTAGTAACGTTGTTATTTATTCCAGGGCAAGCTCCCAATTGAGTTTATCAGTAGGTTTTTTAGTCTCATTTAGTTACTGTCTTTGAAAAGTGTATTTGATTGTGATTAAGATCTGAAAGAAAGGGGCCACCACCTTCTGTAGTGCTTCTGGTAGCATTTGTTTTCCCCCACATGAGCTGCCCTTTGTATAAACAGCAATAATCAAAGCAGATTAAACCTTCTGCTTGCTTCTGTTTTCATGTAAAGAAATGAGCTCCAGACTTCAGAAAGGAGAACTAGTGGTTGAGTTCCATGAGTTTCCAGGTCTGCCTGTGGCTGTGTCTGGGCTATTCCAGGAAAACGGCTTATCTTCATTGTCCATGTGAAATGCTCTTTTGTATGCTAATGGACTGAAAGGAAGAAAAGATGGTGAACATGATGTCTGCCTTGTGACCCATGGGCCAGCTGTGTCCACTGGCATAAGGACAGAGCAGTACTCTGACATGTCAGTGGCAGATAACTGTATCCTTTATTTTCCTAACAATCGAATGGAGATCCCTGGCCCTCAGAATTGGTATTTTAACGTGTAACAGGTTGAGGAGACAGGGTGGAGACCTCGTTCTGCTGCTCTGTCCGGTCCTTGTCTACAGAAACACTGCTTGTCTCCTTTTTTGCCTTGTCCAGGAAGGACTTACAGCTCTGCACATGGCTGCAGAGGGGGGTCACAGTGGCTGCGTGAAGCTGCTCTTGGAAGCTGGTGCCGATGTCAATGCCCGCACACAGGTTAGCTCCATGGAGGTGATTCCATTTCCAAACGCTAATGTGTGGATTTTTGCCCAGACCTGTGGCTCCTCGGGAGGGCACTCATTATCAGGTGAGGCCATAAGCACTTCACAAATAGTGCAGATGGCTTTGCCCAGAGGTGGGTGATGCTCCCTGGGGCTGGTTTGGCTGGAAGCAGTCTCTGCGAATTTGTTGGTACGTGGGCATGGGGCTCTTGCAAGAGAGAAGCAGGGAGATCTCTGTGGATAGTCTGTAACAACTGCAGCCCTGAGAAGAAGTCCTGACTAACACCCATCTCTTTTGACGTGCCTCTCAGAAGATGATGAACTGCCTTCATTACGCAGCACTGCATGGCTACCAGGAGATAGCCAGGATCCTCCTGGCCGCAGGAATCCACATGGATGCTGTTAATCACGTAAGTCCTGCTTAATGCTCTTACCACTTACAAAAAGGCAAAGCCAATTTGTGGAGCAGTTCAAGAGTACAAAGCAACTTCACAAGGACCAGTGCTGCTGTGGGGTCTGTGCTTATGGAGCAGTATCCCCAGTCTGCCTCCAGTCCAGGCTGGAATCTTAGAATAAGACACACTGGGCACAGCATGGTCCTCTCAGTGCCTGAGCTGTGCTCTTCCTAAGCACAGGGTCTTCTTTCCACAGCAAAATGCATCAGCGACGCACATTGCGGTGCTGCAGAACTTCCCAGGCATGGTGAAGCTCTTCATTGATGCAGAGTGTGACCTTGACATCCCAGATAACGTAAGACTGCAGCTCCTGGTCTTTGAAATGCGACCCAGTTCCATGGGGGATTTGATTACCTTGGGGACAGGGTTAAAGAGTGCTTTAAAATGGGGAAAACCTGGAAGCGCAACTTAGGAAACATGTGAGCTGTGAAATGATTCTGAGTGTGGCAGTGAGGTAACCACGTGGTGGCATTCAACATCTGCGCTGTGCCGTGTCCCTGGGACCTGTGCACAGCTCGTTGCAGTCAGGCTTTCTTCTCCTTGCTGGAAGCAGGTGGGAGAAATTTCAGGCCAGCAAAGATTCTGCACAGTGCTTGGGGGCTGAGATGGGAGGCAAGCCTGCGGGGAGCTGGTTCTCGCACCAGATTGCAGTTTTGTGAACAAGGGGGGTTGTGGAGCTTGCTTGTAATGTTGTGGTTGTATGTTCCTTCTTGAGTGATGTTCTCTCCTGATAACATCGTGAAATTGACACATTTTGTGTGTGAGTTTAGTTGTTTCCATTAAACAGTCCTGAGGTGCACACAGTTTGCAGCACCCACATTAATGCAGCTCTCTGTCCCAGGAACACAGAACTAGCACTGGTCCTTTCCTCTCTTGGCCAAACTATTTGCCTACAGAAGTTGTTTAAATAGCAGGAAATAATATAGTCCTATAAGTGACCCTAAGGAGCCTTATGGAACTGAAGAGGTTCATTCTCTAGCCTGAAATATCATCAGGGAGGCTTTCTAGTGCTGGTGCTAGGACAGACCAGTTCTGCTCAGCCTGAGGAACCCAACTCCAGTTTGAGGCAGCATGTTTAGCCCTCAGTTTAAAAAGGGATAGAGGGGAAGGGAGGGCAGAGCTGACAGGATTCGTACAGCACTTCCTCCTAGTATTGTTCTGTCCTATCCTTCCAGCCTCACGCTTGTCCTCCTCTAAAATGTAGTCCTTTCCCCCTCCTGCAGAGGCAGCAGACCCCCCTGCACATCGCTGCGGAGCACGGCAGGCAGGACATTGCTGAGATGATTCTCATTGCAGGAGTTAATCTGAAGCTAACAGACAAGGTAAACGTCTCCTCCACAGCTCAAATAGATTCTGTGGGGTCAATACGGATGGTCTTTGCCACTGTTGTCAGAACTTTCAAGGAAAGTTAATAGTAATATTAAAATCTGGATGTTCCCAGGGAGAAGGCCTTGAAACACTGCTGAGTAGTTATTTTGATGTGTTTTCCAGGAAAGAAGTGACTGTTTCTTAGGAAGGTAAAAAACAGTTCACACAGTGAGCAAACTTCTTCTTCCCAAAGTTGTTCTTGTTCCTTTTACTTGTGCTGTCATGCACATTAATAGCAAATATTATAGCACACAGGTTTTAATGGGCTAAAAGTATCTGGCTGGTATAGATCTGCCACTGGTGTCCAGGGCTTTTGCATTCTAATTAAATCAACCATAGTGTTGTCTGAGGAGCAGATACATGTATTATAGCAAAAGGAGTTCTAGAGGAATCAGGTAACTTGCATGCAGCCTGAAAGTGTGGTATGTGCCCAGAAAATGCTGAAGCAGGGTTGGGCAGCCCGTGGAACCACAGTGGGACTCAGCCCAGGGAACATGTTCCACTTTTCTGTGTGAAATCGGGTTTCCGAGGCTAGAAGTGTTCTCCCTGGCATGCCTGATGGCTGGGCTGGCTCGCTTTCCTTTGTGCAGCTTTCAAATCTTGTTCTTTTCTGCTATAAGCTTTTAGATACAGATACAAATCATCCCTGTGCAATCCCAAATCATATTCACGTAAGCAGTGTAATTACAGTTTTGTAGTCCCATCAACCTGTGCTTCTCCTAGGAGACCGTTTCTAATCATGTGTATGTGGAGCCTATAAAATTAATGAGGTTGTATAAATCACTTGAGTTTCGTGTGCCAGCAAACCTGCTGTGCAAAAAGCTATAAAACACTTAAGAATGTAGTCCTGAGCTGGTCCTTGGACAGCAGCACCCATGTTGCTGGGGGCCTAAGAGCACCCTGCCGTCCACTGAGGGTGGTAGGATGCTTTCCTAACCAAAAGAGATGCTCCAGAGCCTGGAAAAGGACTCCTCTTGCCCTGAAGGCAGCAGCTTCAAGCTAGCTCACATCCAAGGTGTGTGCCTGCAGAGAATAGGGGTCCTTCATCCCAGCTGGGGCATTGCTCAACAGGCCATGCTGCCTGCTACTACAGACTGCAGGGTGGCCATGGAGATTGTACCTCCTAAGCATGCAAGGTCTTTTCCAGCTCATTTTTCCCCTTCTCATTTCAGCAAGGGAAAACATCTCTGGATGTTGCTGCTCGAGGCAATCACATCAACCTGGCAGACATGATTATCAAAGCTGATCGGTTTTACAAATGGGAAAAGGTGAGCAGCATACATACCATTCCCTGTGCTTCCCAGGGCAGGTGTGGCTTTGTCCTCTCCATTGAGACACCATGTTACCAGCTGCCACAAGGAAAAGAAATGCAGCACATTCTGTGACAGCCTGACCTCTTTGCCATTCCCACAACATCTACTTAAGGTTTTCCTTATTTAAAACAGCCTCTGTTGCTAAAACCCCCCAGGCTGTGCTGAAGGAAACAGGGGGTTTCAAAGATTCTTTGGCAGCTGTTCCAAAAGCCCAGCAGAAGGGATTGGGATAGCATTAGCTCCTTTTCTCCAGGCAGAGAAACTGGGAGGCTGTGGAATGACAGGTACATCTGTAGCATCCCAACCAACACCCCTGTTCTGGCTTTGCAGGACAATCTGAACAGTGACTCTGACTCCTGGGTGGCAAAGCACTTGACCTTTAAGCAAGATCACAGGCTGGAAACACAGCACATCCGCTCGGTAATGTGGAGGTTGGCTACCAAGTACCTCAGACCTGGTGAATGGAAGAAGCTGGCACATTACTGGAAATTCACTGATGCCCACATTAGGGCCATCGAGCAGCAATGGACAGGTACAAAACACCATCCAGGTATTTGCCAGGTATTTTGCAGTGATTCTAGGAGAGAAGACTACAGTAATAGCAAAGCATGAAGACCACCAGCTGCTTTATTTGAAACAACCAAAAAACTAGGCCAAAAATTCTGGTTTTTATCAATGTGGAGTTACCTACACACTGGAATTTGTCTAGGAGTAAAGCACACAAACATGGGGGTTATCAGTTCATTGCTCACTCCTGAGGTACTTGCCAGACTTGTGATTTCTTGTTCTACAGGACAGAAGAAAGTTGGTAGTTTTATTTTTGTCTTTTAAGGAGCTGAACCAAACCACCAGTGAAGCCCCATAGGATTTAAGACGTACATTAGCAGAAGCAGGTTCTGAGTTTCACAAACAGGTCACTGCTGGTTTGGTTACTGGAGTTTCCACAATGCAAGGAAGGGGCTAAGCTATGCTCCGAGGGCAGAAAGTCTGTACTGCCATGAGAGACTGTCTGAGTTTCATGTGAATTAGCAATCACACCACAAGCAGGAATTAAGCTGTTACTTAAGAGCCTTCTAGTAGATTCCAAAGAGGAGGGAGAGATGAGGGGTGTCCAAACTCACCAGTTCAGAAATCCACTCTGATCAGGGCCTTGCACTGCAAGCACAGGATTTCACCTCTCATTTCACCTTGCCAGACACTAAAAGCTACAGAGAGCACGGCCACAGGATGTTACTCATCTGGCTCCATGGTGTGATCACAGCAGGAGAAAATCCAGTCAAGGGGTTATACGAAGGCCTTGTGGGGATTGGAAGAAGAGATTTAGCAGGTAATACTTTTATCTTCCTTCAAATAATGCACACTGAGCACTACCTGAATTCTGTGGTGACACAGTATATATGCAGAGGAAAACTAAAGCCAGTTCACACAAGCTGGAAGTCACCCTGCCCCTTGCTACCACTACATGTCATTTCCTTCTTTTCCTTTTATTTTAATAATGCATCCTGCCACAGCATTATATTTTCATAGCTCATCCAGTTCCAACCCCTGTCACGGGCAGGGACACCTCCCACTAGAGCAGGTTGCTCCAAGCCCCTGTGTCCAACCTGGCCTTGAACACTGCCAGGGATGGGGCAGCCACAGCTTCTCTGGGCACCCTGTGCCAGCGCCTCAGCACCCTCACAGGGAAGAGTTTCCTAATACCTATTGTAAATCTCCCCTCTGTCCTGTCCTTACATGCCCTTGTAAAAAGCCCCTCTCCAGGTTTCTGTGCAGCAGAATATTCTCTTTTTTTACAGAAAGCATTCGGAAAAAAGCAAACGCAGACTCTGCCTCTCCACGGAAGTGTGTAGCAATGTAGCACCAGGAGGGCACCAGCAACTCCTTCAACAGCTTGTCCTCAAGCTAGAGGAGAAACACTTGCTGTGCTGCTGATCAGGAGGCAGCTGCAACTTAAGGGCTTCTTGTCATGTGCAGCTGGCTTCACTGCTGCTTCCCTCCCTGGAATGGGGAGAGCATCAGCAAAGCCAACAGTCTGAAATGCCTCTTTGCACAGGAGGGAGAGTTTTATCAGCTGCTGTGTATGGTCTGGGTGCTGTAGCAGGAGCTCAGCGAGCCAGCCTTGCTTCTCATACTGTGAGCATCAGGAAGTGCTGTGTTACTGTAACTGGTTTACATCTCATTTTTGTATATAAATTTTAATTGTCAGTTTGTAAGTTATGGAGGACAAAGCCCGTGGTTTCAGGAGTGTTCTTTACTTACCCTTTTTTGGGAGGTGTCTACCACTTGTGTCTTAGATGTGTTCAGAATGTCCCTGGTAGGGCAGGAATTTAAGAAGAGTCAAGGCTCTCCCTTGGTCCTTTTGGAACCATGAGGCTTGTGATCTTTAACAGAAAATTTCAGAGAAGAACATTAACATACACTGTTTACAAATGTACATTAACCTATACATACTGTTCATAAATCAACCAGGTAACTTCCTTAATCTGTAAGTTACAGCTTCAAAAGTGTAAGACAAGAGTGGTCATTGATTATCTGCACAGCCTCTGAGAAGGACATAAGTTTTCTTAAATACTTATTTAGCATGTAATACTTTGTATTTATTTTTTACAGTGTTTCAAGGGGAAGATAACGTCTGTGTTTTAATAAATCCAGGTTTTACCCTTAAATTTGCAAGTTACATCTTAGTTATTATTAAGAAAAAGCTACGTAATTCTTACTTAGAGCTAAACCAACACAAGCTTATCATTAAGGTTTGAGGTGGATCCAAGCTTTAATGTGCTGGTTTTCTTCATCATCTCCAGAGGTGGGCTGTAGAGGCAGACCAGGACCAGCATAAGTTACAGAGCTGTTCTCTTGCAGTCAAAACAAGAGACCCTTGCTGAAAGTGAAGTTTTATTGAAAACCATTTTTTAACCAGCGAGAAAGTTAAAAATTCAAATGCTTTATTTCCAATAGAAACAACCTAACTTACAACACAACATACAAGGCAAATAAGTGATGGCAACAGTGTCACTTAAACGAAATATTCAACAAAAATATATGTTGGCCTCTAAGTACACAACCTGCATGTGGCAATATATACAGCTGAGTGAAGAGTATAAAAAGAGATCCTGTTCTGCTGAAGAACATGATAGTGAGGACTTTGGTAGCAAAAAGTGTCTCTGTTTTTAAAAGTGTAGTCTTCAAAGAGGCTTCCTTGAACTCAAAAGACTAAAAGTTACACAGCTCTATCCCATTGTACTGCTGGAGGCTACTGTCCACAAGCAGATCACTGACTGATCCTGCTGGAGTCACACAGTGATAATCGGCTAACGCAAGGGAAAGGGCAGAGTGGGAACAGTTGCTTATACACAGGAAGACCACGGAACTGTTTCCTCATTTTCACCAGTGCTCCAAAACCTACTGCTCTTGTTCATTGCTGGAGTGAAGGCTGATCTTCTGGACTTCCAGCTCTTCCGCGCTGACCATGGAGGGATCGATGGCTGCGTATCGGGTACCATGGAACTGCAGTAAATGGATCTGTTGAACACAAAATAATGCTGAAACAAGTGTAGAAGCACAAGGTTTTGGTAAAAAAAGAAACATTCCTTCTGAGTAATTATTGTGAGGATGAAGTAATGGCTCTTGAGTATGAGAGGACAGAGAAAACGGGCAAGAGGTGAATCCCCAAAGCCAGTCCCCATGAACGTGACTACTCCCATCCCTGCATTCTATATCAGCAAGCCAGGAGCAGAGCTCAGGCAAACCAAGGGAGAAAAGCCAGCACTGAAAAGGCATTTCCTATTGCTGTGCACATCAGCAGATCCAGTTTGAATGCAGACACTCACTTGAATATACAGGTTGACCTCAGCGCTCCTGCAGAGATAGGGGAAGTTACCTCCTGTTTTGAGATGAGCTCTTCTAGCATTCGGATAAAGTTTATACATTTCTTCCTTTGCTTCAGTTGAAAGCGCACTTTGGTCAAACACCTGCATAACAAGTCACAGCAGTTATGTCTGAATCCCAGATTTTGATTATTATATCAGACTGGATGTATGCTGCTCCTGAAAGCAATTCTCAGCTTCTCTGTGGAACAGTTGTTCATGAAACAGAAAACAACATGAAGGCATCAGAAAGTGAACGCTGCCATACATAAACATAGGATTGTGTTATTGCACAGAAAATCCAGTTCATAATTTGACACACACGAGTCCTGGTGTTGGCCAGTCAGAAGACTTATCTAAGCATGAAGTTACGTGCTGCCACTACTTACTGAGTTACTAAGAGAATATCCAGACCCCACCTGCCAAGGGGAGGAAACAGCATTGAAGAAAAACACACAAAAGGATGCCATTGAGATTAACTTACATCCATGATGGTTACAGGGATGTCCCGAATTTTATGAGGTTCTACATAGGAGTTCTGGCAATTGAGGGTAAGTCTTGAGGCAAGCTCACTCTGGCCCAGGCTCTCCAGCTTTCAGTAGAGAGAAACTCTGATTAACACCATTTTTCACTGCAGGAAGTTAATGCAATATTAACAACAGAGCCAAAGAGAAGTTAGTTTTACAGCAAAACATGCCTGTGCTTCAGTTGAAGATTAGAGTTCCAAGTTAATACTACTCTGCATGAGACAAATGCTTAAAATATGTTCCATTAGTTGCTCCTGCCTCTGGAGCGTGGTCTACAGACATAGGCCAGCACCTTCTCCTCTGCCACCTCAGTTTAACTTCCTCTCTTCTGAGCTCCATAAACAGAACTGTAAAGGCAGATGGTTGCAGCACAAGGTAAAGTGCTGGGGCTGTGACAGCATCTGCTCAAGATCCATCCCTTCCTCCTCCCTCCTGGGTAAGTAAATGAAGCAAGCAGCAGAAGGATCTACAACCTCCTGCTAAGCAAATCTACCAAGATTGACATCACAGCCATGAGAGTGCACAGGTACCTACCCTGTCCACCATGAAATCGATCCCATCGGCCATCTCGGGATCTAGAGGACCAGATGCAAAGTTCCCAAGGACAATTTTTTTCAGCATGAAAGCAGGCATCAGCCAAAAGCTGAAACAGAAACAAGATGTAAGGGTCTTCAAGCACCCAGGACCCCCATGGTAACATGCTTTGTTGTCAGCCCTCCCTTTCCTGGCATAGACTTCGTGCTTTAACTTCAAATGAAGTCCTGAAGAAGCTTCAAGAGCAGAGAGGGAAAACCTGGCAGCGAGGTGCTTGAACTGCTCTGGGAAGCTGTTAAGTCTTACATTGCAAACCTGTATTTTAAACATGATGAATATCATTCTTCTCACCCTGAATGGCCTTGCTAGAAAACAGGCAGTTGTTAAATCTGACCACACATCCACAGGGGATCATGGAATGGCTCATCTGACAAATTCCACATTCCCAATTGTGAACATTTCCATTCTCCTTGTGATGTGGCTTCAAAACTCATAAGAATTCCATGCCACACCTCCCTCACCCGGGCTGGAGACAGGTTAGAGCAGCAGGACACTTCATCACAAAAAAGTTAATGCCATGAATCTGTTTGTCTCAGCCTTGCTTACCTGTTTGCTGTCCATGTCTGATTGAAGATAGAAGTGTCGCTAAAGGAATTGCACAGGATCAGAGACTGAACTCTGGGAGATTTGTGTGTGTATTCAGCAAACTTTTGAGCCAAAAAGCCTCCCAGAGATGCTCCAAAAAGGTGAACCTGGTTCAAGGAAAAGAACCAAAATCAAACAGATCACATTTGTGAAATAAGTAACCTCCAAGCACAAGGTTTCATTACAGAAACAAGTCATTGTAGTTTTACCCTGTCCTCATGACCCATTTGTTTAAAGAATCACTCTTCTATTTAGCTTCTGGGTTTATGCATGAAATAAATGAGACCAAGACTGAAAGGAGGAGACATTTCCAGACTGCAGGTCCAGTGTCTGTGTGCTCATCAAGCTCAAGAAAAATGAAAAGAAACATTTCACTTTGGCTTCAACAGTTATCCCAAACCAAGCCACTTTGTTGTGGTATCCTGCACTCCGGGAGTTCGGAAGGATAACTTCCACAGGATCACATGAAAACCTGAAGTTACCCAGTTTAACAGGCCTAGAACAGCAGCTGAATTTAGGCCAAGTACAACAATTTTCAAGGGTACCCACCTTTAAAAAGAAACTAGTTTCAAATGTAAAATTGCAACACAGCCTCTTTATTTCTAGGCTACGTTTTTGTGTCATGTTAAACACTTGCTCTTAAGTGAGACTCTCAAACATTAGGTTTTTATTGCAACTCCACATCCATTTCCCCACCCCTGAGCACTCACTTTATCCAGCTGAAGGTGGTCTAACAGTTTCCTGAACCCATCACAGAACTCAAGGTGATCCCAGTACACCGGATACTGCAACTGAAGTAACACACAGTTAGAAAAAGGCCATCTCAGATCAGTACCTATGAGCTGCGTCCTCAAAAGTCACACCAAATCTCACAGTAAGGGTTTCAAGACAGCAACCTGCCTCGCCTGTATCATGAGGCTCAAGCTCCTCAGCAAGGTCCCTCCAGCCCAAGGGTGTGAACACCTCCCCTTTGCTGGCACAAATAGATGACAAGGTACCACAGAGCATGTTTGTTGGGGAAAGTGCAGCTTTGCTTCATTCTGTAATCAGTGAGGAGAGGCTGGAATGACTCTTCAGTGATTCTGTGGCATCAAAAGTTGGCAGGCACAGAAACTGTGAACTGCTCTGAGAGTGCTCCTGAAGCCAGGCTGTTTAGCAGAAATAATGTTCAAATCAATCATTTCAGTCCTGCTCAGGAGCTGAGAAGCCACAGAAGAGCTGTTGGGACTTTAAGGAGTGACTTAGCATGCCAGCCAAGAACCACCATCCCTAAGGAAACATGGAAACCC